TAGGCTATGTTTTATTATACTACATATTGTTTGTTAACCCTTTAACTGCACCACCAAGAAAAAAAATGTTTGCATTTAATTTAATTTCAAATATTTGCATTTTAACTACTAATGTCGCTAAACACACTCAATACATGTTTTAACACATACCATAATTTCTAAAATATCAACATCTTCCAAATAGTTAATATGTCGGTTTAAGTTAAAAGTACCGGAATTAATACATATTTGATATATTACACATTCCTTTAATCAGTTATGAAGTAGCCCACGTGTGCCCTCAAGTGGAATAATCAAATAGCACTTGCAGTGATGAGGTAAAGTTGGTTTTATATTCACACACTGTGACTTTCTCCTCAATATTATTATTTCATAAAAGTATTTTTTGCAAATTCTAATAAGTGCAATCACATTATCGGCCAATGTATATCAAAATGCATATTTACAGTCAATTAAATAGTGCTAATGTTGTTTTAAAGTTATACTTACATTGGATTTCAGAGTACCATATTCAAAGTACCATAGTAAACAATATAGGGAGCATGTCACAAAGCGTCACTGACGAATGTGTGAATGTAAAACCAAATTTATCCCAATCTTTCACTTTTGCTATTTTGTTTATAATAATAATAATAATAGGCCTAATATTATCCAATTTTTTTGAGTACATAATTGTTTATTACCCTTTTAACTGCCCCACCAAGAAAACTATTTTTGGAATTCGTTTCTTAACTCCTAATGCCACTAGTTAACACAATCCATGCATTTTTATTTCAACACATCAAATAATCTCTAAAAATCAACCTCTACCAAATGGTTAATACGTCAGTTTATGTTAAAAGTACCGGAATAAACACATATATTGTTGACAATCTGCATATATGATGTGTGAGACTAATTTATTTAAAAACATAATCAAAATAAAACATTTTTGAACACTAAGTCATCTTTATTTTTTAAATTATGCCATAAAATATTTCAGATTCTCATTTAACGTGTTTTCTTGAAACCAAATTTAAGTGTAGTAGTGCAACAGGATTATGTTTGTTTGATTTTATTGTACACTAACAATGCTGTGTAGTCATTCATTCATTAATTTTCTTGTCGGCTTAGTCCCTTTATTAATCCGGGGTCACCACAGCGGAATGAATCACCAACTTATCAAGCAAGTTTTTACGCAGCGGATGCCCTTCCAGCCGCAACCCATCTCTGGGAAACATTCACACACACACACACACTCATACACTATGGACAATTTAGCCTACCCAATTCACCTCTACCACATGTCTTTGTACTGTGGGGGAAACCGGAGCACCCGGAGGAAACCCACGTGAAGGCAGGGAGAACATGCAAACTCCACACAGAAACGCCAACTGAGTTGAGGATCAAACCAGCGACCCAGCGACCTTTTTGCTATGAGGCAACAGCACTACCTACTGTGCCACTGCCTCACCCGCTGTGTAGTACAAACCAGTATTTAAAAGTAATTCTTGACTATTATGAAATAAAATGACTTTCACATTCTATTTAACATTCTATTAATATTCTAATCACTATTTAAAACAATTAAAATATGGTCAACCATTTGGTAGAGCAAGCAGTTAATTACCTTGTTAATAAATATGTTTATACATAATGCTTTTTAGGAGGTTTACTTGAAAACAGCCCTGCAAATACTCTTTTGAATATTTGTATTAATTTATTTGAAGTATTGATTATATTATATGTGAAAAAAAACATTTCCTAAAAGGGCTTTCATAGTTTTAGAAACTACAAGACCCCCAAATATGCTCAAGAAACCCCAAACACTTAAAAGGCATCTAATTATTGAATAAAGACACTGTTTATACTTTCAAAGAATGACAATTAGGTCTAAAATATTAATTCACAGTGGCACAGTGGGTAATACGATCACCTTACAGCAAGAAGGTTGCTTTAAAAACATATGCTATAAGTAAATTGAATAAACTAAATTAGTGTAGGTGTGTGAATGCAAGAATGTATAGGTGTTTCCCAGTACAGGGTTGCAGCTGAAAGGGCATCGCTGTATAAAACATATGCTGGATATGTTGGCGGTTCATTCCGCTGTGGAATAAAGGTACAAAGGCAAAGGAAAATGAATAAATAAATTTAATTTGTTTACAGTTGCAGTCAGAATTATTAACCTCCCTGAATTATTAGCCCTGTTTATTTTTTCCCTATAATTTTAGTTTAACTGACACATTTGTAAACATGATTGTTTTAATAGCTCATTTCTAATAACTGATTTATCTTTGCCATGATGACACTAAATAATATTTTACTAGATATTTTTCAAGACACTTCTATACAGCTAAAGTGACATTTAAAGGCTTAATATATATGTTCATTAGGGTCACTAGACAGGTTAGGGTAATTAGGTAATTTATTGTATAATGATGATGGTTTGTTCTGTAGACTATAAAAGAAATATAGCCTAAAGGGGCTAATAATATTCACCTTAAAATGTTTGTTTTTTTAAACTGATTTTATTTTAGCTAAAATTAAAAACAGATAAAACCTTCTCCAGAAGAAAAGATATTATCAGACATTCTGTGAAAATTTCCCTGCTCTGTTAAACATAATTTGGGTAATGTTTAAAAGAAAATAAAAATCTAAAATAATTCTGACTTCAGATGTGTAGTAGTCAACATTTAAAGTGAATCAAAAAACATTTTTCAAAATTGTTTTAAGAATGAAGGTTGTTCTGTAGTTTAAGGAAAAATTTGATGAAAGGTTTTGATCTACTTCAAAAGTTTACAACTGTATATTAAAATCTAATTTTAGACAGAATTTACTTGAATCATATTGAATCATATTCAAACATTTTAAATAAATGTTATATTTATTGTAAACATAAATCGTATTTTGCTTTAATACATTATTTTAGAATATAAATCAGTGTTTACCCTTTATTTTCCCCTTTTAATTATGTGTATTTTCATTTTTTTTAAAAACATTTTTCCTCAAAAATCAGTCATTATTTTTTCAACCTCCTGTATAAATGCCCCTGACCTAAACTGTTAAGATGTTTATTGGTGGGCATCAAAACAATGAAAGTCTTCACAGATCACATTGTATGCAACGTTTTTATTAGTAGTAATAGCTCCTTAGAAAAATTTTGAAATTGTTTCATATAGACATTGAGTTCAACACATTTTAATTATTATTACTATAAATTATAAAAGTCTAAGTAGCCTGAATAGAAGTCTAAAAGTAACAGATACCCTATAAAAGTATATATATATATATTAGGTGGAGAGTTTATACAAAAACATCTTCCAAGTTTCATTTAGGTGAGTCTGAAGCTGTTTTCTGATCTATGGCGTTCATGGCCGTCTGGACCCACTTATCGTCTGGATTCCTAAAGATATGTGTCTTCGTTGTTGTTACGAACCTAAAGCAGATGAGAATAAAACAATACACATTAACATGAGGACAAGCTCACACAATGTATCTAAAGGGGCAGGAGCTGTGTGTCCAATAATACGACTCCAGTCGATTAAGAGGAATTCTGCTGTTACTGCCTTCAACGCAGCAGTGTGAGACAACGTGCTGACCTGAAACGTAAAATATTCACCAGTAAAATTCAGCCCGTTTTATTTATCCTGCTTTTTAAAATACAGTTAGGCTATGCCAATTTTATGAAGAGACATATTAAAAGTGTTTTAGTTTGTTTAAATTGGACAATCTGGAGCAGCAAACGCTTTTAATCGAGATTTGTTATCAGACTCAACCAGAAGAGGAATCAGGCAGCGCGTAGACATCACCTCACACACTAACAATAATTATGGAGTCTTCATTCTGCAGCTATGAGAAACCACAGGAGAATGCCCGATGCTGCGTCCAAAAATTGCAAACAATCTGTTTTAAACACTATCCGAAAAGTAATTGTGTCCCAAATCGTAGTTTAGGAGTTTCCCAAAGTTACCCGGATGATCCACTGTTTCGTCGTCACTATAAACGTGTTAGTTGGTTAGTTAATCCAATTAGTTAGTTTATCGTTAATCAGTTAACAGCCTACTTAGACACAAATTGAATTTCTAAGAAACAAATTATGCCAACGTTGTGAATGTGACATCAAACAGGAAAAGAAAAGTAGTAAAAATGTTTACTATTTTTCATAACATTAATATTATGTGAAGGAATAATAGGTGTAAAATATTATTTGTTATATATTTAGAAGCAGCATTTATTAAAAATTAAAACAGATTATTTTAAACAAGCTATTTATTAAAATCATATTTAATTAGATTTTTTACTATAGTTTTTGATTACTTTTATTTAATTTATTAAAATAAACTGCTTATTTATTTAATCTGTTTGAGTATTTTCTGTATATTTATATATTTTATTTTTAGATTTTCGTACGTATTTTCGCAATACATTTTACAATTATTTCTCTACTTTTACAAATACAATACTTTTTATAATTATTTTTTTGATTTTTTCTCTAAACATTTCAGAAAGTTCAGTTTGAAAAGCTGACCCAACCTATGCATAAAAGAAAAGTTTTTTTGAAGTATTAGACATGACAATGTTTTAATAAGCAATAATAAAAAATTTCACAGCATGAGATCATTAAGATTTATTGTCACATACAAATTAGATCAACACATCTAAATAATATAATATTCATTCATTCATTTTCTTTTCAGCTTAGTCCCTTTATTAATCTGGGGTCGCCACAGCGGAATGAACCGCCAAATTATAACGTAGCGAATGCCCTTCCAGCTGCCACCCATCACTGGGAAACATCCATACACACTCATTCACACACATACACTGTGGACAATTTAGCCTACCCAGTTCACTATATAAAGTTATAAGATATATAGTAGTAAAGAACTTTATTAATCTCATTGAGAGGGAACTCATTTGCCAGCATACACTTCACAATAAAATAAATTATTTAACAACACATACCAACAACAAAAAAAAAAGAGACAGTACAACAACTCACACAAAAAAACAGTACAACAACAAATATATATGTATAAAGCAAGTTATAAGAGTATTCTGATATTTCACAAAAGAGACAACACATTTTAGACAATTTATCACAAAAAAATATTGTATATATTACAATAACAACAAATATTCTGCAACTTTATTTTACAAATGTTCATATGTATGGGGAATGTATCTGAGCAGGGGCAGTAAACATCTTCCGAGTTTCATACTGGTGAGTTTGAACCTGGTTTCTTGTCTATGGCTTTCATTGTCTTCTGCACCCACTTATTTTCTGGATTCATACAGATATGTCTCTTTGCTGTTACAAACCTAAACCAGAGAATAAAGCATTAGTATGTGTATGAATCAAAAATAATTTATTAGCAGTGTTTCAGCTGTATGTCTATATAAAGTAAAGCAGCGTTTCTCAACCACGCTTCTGGAGAACCACCAGCTCTGTACATTTTCCATGTCTCCTTAACCAAACATACCTGATTCAGATCATCACATCTTTAGCAGAGACTAAATAGATCTGTAATTTGTGACAGACAAGGGAAACATCCAAAACGTGCAGTCAGAGTTGCTGGTCCTCTAGGAACGTTGTTGAGAAAAACTGATATAGAGGATACTCACACAATGTGGTTGAAGGGGCAGATGCTGCTTGTCCAGTAATAAGACTTTAGGCGATTCGGAGGAATTTTGCTGTTACTGCCTTTACCAAAGCAGCAGATACTGGTCGAAGCATCACCAGAATATGGCTGACCTGGAAAAGTAAAATGCTCGCTAGTAAAATTGAACACGTTTTTAATTATCAAGGATTTTAAAAATAGGCTATGGTTAGATATTTTCAGAAAGAGAAGACTAAAAACATTTCTAGTATAACATTACCACCCTTATTAACCCAGTTGATTGATTAAAATAAGAACTGAAATTTTTTTTTTTTGTATTACAAGTTGATGTAGTCATGTTTGAACATGCAAATGAGGCATGAAATGCTTTACGCCAGTGGCTCTGTGTTGATGCTATATATAGAGTATACTGTATGTATGTGAAATAACATGAATCTGTAAAGAAGCAATCTCTAAGCTCTTAATTTTTAATAAAACAATTAAACATGTACAGTAAATTGTAATTTAAAAAATATAGACATAAAAAAATGTGATAATATACTTTAAAGTGTATTTCGCATGTCTTCTTTCTATTAGACAAAAAAAAAAAAAACACAATGAAGAATCCCACAAATTCCCAAAATCTCAAAATTAAAAGATAGGCTACACAAAAAACTGTTTTTGCCTAACGTGTCTGTCCTTCTAATGGAGAATCTGGAACTGAAAGTTGTTTCCGTCTCATACAAGAGAGGAGAAATTAATCTAACTCACCATCTGAGGATTGAGGCAGAAGAGCGCAGCACAGCACTGCAAACAGTAAAGCGGTCTTCATGATGATCTTCATTCTTCAGGTATGATTGATGAACCATTCGAGAAAGAGAGTCTGAGTATGAGGTAAACTGCCAGAGCTCCATTATATAGAGGGAGACCATCAGTTAATGTCAATTCTGAAAGAATTCCCCTGCTCTAAATCTGTGGATCGGTGATGCAAACTTTTCTGAGGAAAAAATTCTGCCCCTATTTTCATCTGCATTTTTAAAGTTCAATATATAATTAAAGCTGCAAGCAGCGATGATAGGGACCTCGCACCCGGGCTCACCGCCGCCCGGTGGCATTACGATGACAGAGAACAGCGAACAACAATAATTTCAGTCGATATATTTTTAAAAATCTGAGAAAATCACAGGTTTATGCCAAACTTCCTCCTGTCAGCAGGTGGCGCTATAACTGTGACTCAATATTGGCATGTAGATGCCTTCAGTAGAGGAATTTAATCAACCATGTGAAGTTTCAGGCACATGGGACATTGTGTGGCTAAGTTATAAGCCAAACTACCTTCTGCCAGCAGGTGGCGCTATGACTGACTCAATATTGTTATGTGGATGTGTTCAGGGGAGGACTTTTATCCACCATGTGAAGTTTCAGGCTGATCGGACTTTGTGTGGTTGAGTTATGAGGACTTCCTGTTACATGGCGAAGCGTTGAGATTTGTCATGCCGCCACGGACACGCCCCTCTGCAAAAACTCCAGACCCTAACAATATATCATCGCTAGGGCTTTCAGATGACACCACTCAAATTTGGTGCTGATACGATAAAGTTTGTGGGAGGAGTTTGTTACTCTGTGAATCATGTCATTTCCTGTGGCCAGCAGGTGGCGCTATAACTGTATCTGGATATTGGCATGTAAACTTGTTCAGGTCAGGACTCTTATGAAGCGTGTGGATTTTGAGGCAGATCGGATAATGCATGCCTGAGTTATAACGACTTCCTGTTTTGTGGCGAATCATCAAAGTTTGCGTGGCCGCCACGGACACTCCCATCAATGAAAACTCTAAAGCTTCGCAATTTAACATCGCCAAGGCCTTTAGATGACAAAACCCAATTTTGGTGTTGATCGGATAAAATCCCTAGGAGGAGTTTGTTAAAATACAATGCCTGGAAATGGCAAAAACGCCACTTTTTCGCCGAAGGAAGTTAAAAATATCTTCCTTCCTGTTGGGTTTGAGATATGGCTCCAATAGACTTTTTCCTATGTTTTGGCATGTTTGAGGTGTGTGCCAATTTTTGTGCATGTGCGTGATTCGTAGATCAGGGGCTCGTCCGTTAAATTTTTATAGGTGGCGCTGTTGAGTCATTTTGCCATGCCCACTTTAATATTTTTATGGGCATGTGTTCAGGAGAGGACTTTTATCAACCATGTGAAGTTTCAGGCGGATCGGACATTGTGTGGTTGAGTTATAAGGACTTCCTGTTCCATGGCGAAGCGTTGAGGTTTGTCTTGCCGCCACGGACCCGCCCCTCTCCGAAAATTCTAAATCTTCACAATATATCATCTCTAGAGCTTTCAGATGACACCACCCAATTTTGGTGCTGATACGAAAAAAATTGTGGGAGGAGTTTGTTACAGTGTAAAACATGTAATTTCCTGTGGCCAGCAGGTGGCGCTATAACTGTATTTGGATATCGGCATGTAAACATGTTCAGGTCAGGTCAGGGCTCTTATCAAACCTGTGAATTTTGAGGCAGACCGGATAATGCATGCCTGAGTTATAACGACTTCCTGTTTCGTGGCGAATCAAAGTTTGCGAGGCCGTCACGGACACGCCCATCGACGAAAACTCTAAAGCTTGGCAATTTAACATCGCCAAGGCCTTTAGATGACAAAACCCAATTTTGGTGTCGATCGGATAAAATCCCTAGGAGGAGTTCGTTAAAATACAACGCCTGAAAATGGCAAAAACGCCACTTTTTCGCTGCAGGAAGTCAAAAATATCCGACTTCCTGTTGGGTTTGAGATACGGCTCCAAGAGACTTTTTTGTATGTTTTGGTGTGTTTGAGGTGTGTGCTAATTTTCGTGCATGTGCGTGATTCGTATATCGGGGGCTCGTCCGTTTAATTTTTCTAGGTGGCGCTGTCGAGTCATTTTGCCACGCCCACTTCCGAAGCCCATAACAACCGTAAATTTTCGCCACTTCTGAGGCGTGTGCAAAGTTGCGTGAGTATTCGGGCATGTTTAACCCCTCAAAACCGCGATTCATTCCGCGGAAGAAGAAGAAGAAGAAACGGAGCAATTCCAATAGGGCCTTGCACCGTTCTGTGCTCGGTCCCTAAATATAGATTATTCAGCACAGTGTAAACTACAAAGGAAATACCCCAAGCCTATAGTACTGTCTAATCATGGAAGATAATTAAAAATGACCTATCTAAATATAGATGCTCTGTCTGTGAAATTGACCAGCCCTCTGTTTCTCTTCGTTCATCAGCTAATTAAAGTTAGTGTGAGCGCCATCCTGAAAGTGAAACATACACTCCGACTAACTTGAGTTCCAATACTTGTAATGATTCACATTTCCCTCTTTCAACATTTAAAACATTTCAGTAACATGATCTCATGCAATATATTCAGTTTATTGTGTGGATCATTTGGGCCACAGTGCTTATATATATTTCATCATATTTTTAAAACAAACAGTTGAGGGCAAAATGTGAAATATTTATTCTTTATCAAACATTTCATAAGTAATATTTAATGGAGCATTCATTTTTACAGAATTTCCAATAATGTTTTTTTTTTTAGAGAAAGTTTTATTTGTTTTATTTCAGCCAGAATAAAAGCAGTTTTTTTATTTTTCTAAAACCATTTTAATGTCAATATTATTAGATTTCTTAAGCATTTTCCCCCCGATAGTCTACAGAACCATCATTATTCAATACATTTGCCTGATACCCTAATTTGCCTGATACCCTGATGCCTAGTTAACCAAATTAACCTATTAAGCCTTTAAATTGCTCTTTAATCTGAATGCTAAAAAATATCTAGTAAAATATTATATACGGCCAGCATGACAAAGATAAAAATAAATGAGTTATTAGAAATGAATTGTTAAAACTCTCATGATTAGAAATGCGTTGAAAAATCCTTTTTGTTTAACAAAAATTGAGGAAAATATAAAAGCATTATAATTAAACAGAATTGCTAATAATTCTGACTTCAGCTGTATATTCCCCAAGTTTCAAATACGCTCTTAAAAATGCAGTTCTGTTATTGGCATTGATGATTCAAGAGACTTTAACATTCATGGAACCTTTTAATTCAACAAAAGACTATTTAGATCATGGTTCTTTGAAGAATCTTTCACTTTAAGATTGTTTGAGGAACCAAAACAGTGGCGTCACTGTTAAAAAAATCTTGCTTGTTCTTCCTGGAACCTTAATTTTTAAGAGCATAACAATTTCAGAAATACATTTAAAAATCAGTTTTAATTTGTATTAATAAAGGAAAAAGTCTTGCAAACAAGTAGACTAACATGTACAGTTGAAGTCAGAATTATTAGCCCCCTTTTGATTTTTATTTTCTTTTTTAAATATTTCCCAAATGATTTTCAACAGAGCAAGAAAATTTTCAGTAAGTCTGATAATATTTTTTTTTCTTCTGGAGAAAGTCTTATTTGTTTTATTTTGGCTAGAAAAAAAAAGCAGTTATTAATAAAAAAAAACATTTTTGGGACAAAATTATTAGCCCTTTTAAGCTTTTTTTTTTTTTTAAATAATCTACAGAACAAAACATCCCTTTACAATAACTTGCCTAATTACCCTAACCTGTTCACCTTATTAACCTAGTTAAGCCTTTAAATGTCACTTTAAGCTGTATAGAAGTGTCTTGAAAAATATCAAGTCAAATATTATTTACTGTCATCATGGCAAAGATAAAATAAATCAGTTGTTAAAAGTAAGTTTTAAAACTATTAAGTTTAGAAATGTGCTGAAACAATCTTCCCTCCATTAAACAGAAAATGGGGAAAAAAATAAACAAGGCATTAATAATTCAGGGGGGCTAATAATTCTGACTTCAACTGTATAACCAAATAAGTGTCTTAATTAATCTAGTCAGCTGAAGTACGCACAACACAGTGTGAGAAAAATGATTAAATCTTTTATTCTCCAGGTATGATTTACCTCAAGGGGTCAAAATGTGATGATTATGTACCGCCAGTATAAATGATAAAAAGAAATCCTATTTTTTGCCGATTCTCTAAACCAGTAGCAGCCTTCTTCTGTGCAGAAAATAACACTCTGCCTTAGCTTGAACACTATTGCTTTTCTCCTCCCTGAAGATGTTAGGTGTTAAAATGTAAGTGCTATTTTCATTTAGGAAATACCCTATACATCTATCTATAGGCAAGCAGGGGCGTCAAACATGCTGCTCGCAAAGGTGAAACAACTTTAACAGCATTAAGTGACATCAGCACTCAAGGCATTGGCAGATGATATCATATTTAATTATAGTTAAACATTAATGATTTAGTTTTTAAGAAACTAGTCCCTAAAAATTGCTGTAAAATTTACAGTATTGGCAATTTTGGTTGCCACTAATACTGTAAAATTTACAAGAGAACTGTAATTAACAAGTACAATTGCACTTCAGTTTTACAACACAATTAAAATAATTATTTTACAGTTCACTTGTACATTTTATAGAGCAAATTATTAGCAAATAATTGATTAAGATATTTGTAGTATATAATAATTATTATAACTGCTACTTGGGGGAATTTTATAAAGCAGTTACATAAACAGGGCTTGCAAACTGCTATGCCACACAGGCCCAAATATGATAGTTCAGGAACCTCAATAAAGTAATCAAAAATTATGAATGGAGGTTAAATATTATTTGATGTTTATAAAACATTACTATATTGTTCTATTCTTGTCTATTACAATATTGTAAATCATTTTAATTTATGCAGCAATCACTTAAAACATTTGATTTTATGATGCCCTGTTAAAATTATTTAATGATTTAGCATTTTTTGTTTATTAAAAATGTTTGATATTTTAATTTAATATAAAATGTTTACTTTTAGGTTTATTCATTCGTTTTCTTGTTGGCTTAGTACCTTTATTAATTCAGGGTCTTCACAGCGGAATGAACCGTCAACTTATCCAGCACGTTTTTACGCAGCGGATGCCCTTCCAGCCACAACCCATCTCTGGGAAACATCCACACACACCCATTCACTATACGGACAATTTAGCCTACCCAATTCACCTGTCCCACATGTCTTTGGACTGTGGGGGAAACTGGAGCACCCGGAGGAAACCCACATGAATGCAGGAAGAACATGCAAACTCCACACAGAAACGCCAACTGAGCCGAGGCTCGAACCAGCAAATTTTTTGCTGTGAGGCAACAACACCAACTACTGCGCCACTGCGTCAACTACTGTTAAGTTAGTAAATAAAAAGTTTTACTGGTGGACAATAAAAGTCTTCATGTATCACATTATGTAACATTTTTATTAGTGAAACTTTTTAAGAGATTGGTTTATTAGTAAAATATAGTCACAGATATCAACACATTTTAATAATATACATTAATAATAACACTATTATTATTATTTAAAATAATAATAAAAGTCTAAGTAGTCTAAATAAAAGTATCAAAGTATAAAAAACAGGATAATAGTTTTATTTTACAGTGTTATTCCTATACAGTATATGCATTCATATATTTGTGCAGAATAGATAGAAAATATCTTCCAAGTTTCATATTGACAAATCTAAAATGAGTTTTTCTTTTATGATCTTCTGAACCCACTCATTTTCTGGATTCATACAGATGTTTCTCTTTGTTGTTGTTACGAACCTAAAGCAGATGAGGATAAAGCATTAAAGATGAGTGATAACAATGTCAGCAATAATATAGCTGTATGTCTATATAGAGCAGGGGTCAGCAACCCGCGGCTCTAGAGCCGCATGCGGCTCTTTAACGTTGCTCTTGTGGCTCCCTGGAGCTTTTTAAAAAATGTTTGAAAATGGAAAAAGATGGGGGAGGTTAATATATATTTTTTGTTTTAATATGATTTCTATAGGAGGACAAACATTTTAACGTTTTCAAATGCTGTAAAAGTGTGTAGAATTAATATTTAATTTCAACATTTCTGTCAGCGAAGATTTGCGTCATAGCCTGCGACACAGGTTTCTATCAGCAGGGTGGGATGCCAGGCAGGTGGCTGTTGTAAACGAACCGGGAGATAATAAAGCATGGAAAACCGTTCACAGATGGTGACTACATGAAGGAGTCATTTAACATATTAGAACACCTATTTGCAGACTTCAAAAACAAAACCAAGATAATACAAAAAATTAAAGATATACCTCTCTCCGCTACGACAGTAAAGGAAAGGGCTATTAAAATGGCAGGTAACCTCACCGATCAGCAAACCAAGGACATTAATTCAGTGCCCGCATACTCAATTGCCTGTGATGTGACCGATATTAAACGCTCAGGTATGTGATGTCCGATGGGCCGCAAGAAGAAATGATCAAATTAATACCACTGAAAGACCAAAGGCTGTGCTGTGTAAATAAACACCAACCACCTGATTTCAGTGGCTATTTAATCATGAAGGCTCATTATGTATTTTTAGCCAACTTAGTCATTTTTATAGTAGGCTAATATAGCTAATATAGATACATACAGCATGCGTTTCCTTCATTATAAGGTTATATAAGGCTTTACATTTTTTGCGGCTCCAGACATATTTGTTTTTTGTTTTTTTGGTCCAATATGGCTCTTTCAACATTTTGGGTTGCCGACCCCTGATATAGAGGATTACTCACACAAGGCGTTTGAGGGTGCAGAAGTTGCTTGTCCAGTAGTAAGAGTTCAGTCGATTCAGTTTAATTCTTCTGTTACTGCCTTTACCAAAGCAGCAGATACCTTTACGAATAGATTGCTGACCTGAAAAGTGAAATGTTCACTTGTAAAATTCAGCACATTTTATTTATCCAGTTGACCAATATTATAAGGAGACAATGCAACTACACAACAACAATAAAAAATAAATAAATAAATAAATTAGCATGATAACACAAAGAAAATAATGGTAATAATAATAATTAAAATAAAGAAAAATAGATGAAAAAATAAAGTAAAAAAAAAACTAAACAAAAACAATAAGGGCATATAAACGTTTCAATGAAAATACAAAGAGGCAGTCAATAGGGTTAGTGAGTAAATTAAGCATTACACTGTTGCTCAGAATTCGCATTATATTGGTCCAGATGATCAAGAAATGGTTGCCATATACAGTTGAAGTCAGAATTATTAGCCCCCGCTAGAATTTTTTTTTCTTTTTTAAATTTTTGATTTTTTGAACAAATGATGTTTAACAGGTTCAGGAAATTTTCACAGAATGTCTGATCATTTTTTTTTTCTTCTGGAGAAAGTCTTATTTGTTTATTTCGGCTAGAATAAAAGCGGTTTTTAATTTATTAAACACAATTTTAAGGACAAAATTATTAGCCCCTTTAAGCAATTTTTTTTGACTGTCTACAGAACAATCCATCATTATACAATAACTTGTCTAATTACCCTAATGCCGAGTTCAGACTGCATGGTTTTCCAACTAGTCGTGTCACAGATGTTTTCACACTGCATGACTATCTGGGCTAGCGTTTCGTCGCTGCTTTGTTTACACTGCAAGATGGTTCGGCGACATGGACATTCACATTGCATGACTTTATAGGACTTTATATGACTTTCTATAGGGAGAATCGCCGACAACTTCGTCCAAACTGCGTCTCACAGCCAAAAACATGTAGTATATCTTTTGTTATTAAATACATATTGAGAAAGAAGCCTTTAATGGGGTAGAACGTGTACATGTTTGCTCACCTGGTTTTAAAGGGAATTAGCCATTTCTCCTCAACGTTGATAATAAACTAATTTCTTTCTGTATGAAACGTCAAACAGACACGGTTGGTCCTCAGTCCTGTCAAACCTCCACTAGTTTTTCCTCCATTTCGTGGGTCCAAATAAACCGAAAAAGAGCGCTTTTAACTTCTCCCCCAGCCTCCCGCTGGCCTGCAGCAGGTATACACACACGCACACGCAAGTGAATGCTGCTCTCTCATTGGCTGTAGGCGATCGCCAATGTTATTTTCAGTCAAAACTCAATTCACACGGCATGATTTGAATCGCAGACAGCTCCAGATATTTAGCACGCCAAATATCTCACAGGCATCGGCGACTTATCGGCGATTCTCTCAGATCGCGTCTTTGATCGTTCATACTGTGTGATTGTCACTCACTTGCACGAGCAGCGATTTGCCTGTGATTTCAGGCATTTGTCGGCGATTTCTCAAAACCTGTCGGCGAGCCAAAATCGGGGCTAAAATCACGCAGTCTGAACTAGGCATAACCTGCCTAGTTAACCTAATTAACCTTGTTAAGCCTTTAAATGTAACTTTAAGCTGTATAGAAGTGAATAAAATCTAGTAAAATATTATTTACTGTCATCACGGCAAGGATGAAATAAATCAGTTATTAGAAATCAGTTATCAAAACTATTATGTTTAGAAATGTGTTGAAGAAAATCTTCTCTCCATTAAACAGAAATTGGGGAAAAAAATAAACAGGCGGGCTAATAATTCTGACTTAAACTGTATTGTAAAATCAACTTAACACTTTCATCAGTAATCGTTCTATAAATTATGGTATTTTGTATGAACACATTATAATCCAGCAGAGAACGAGAGTACCCAAACATAACAATTTCTGGGTCAGGTGTGAAGGTAAAAACATATATATCAGAAAACCATTTAAATATGTCCCACCAGAAATCATAAAGTTTTGAACACGTGACATGAAAAAAAGAGGTGGGTCAGGGAGCCTTCAGCAGACTTACAACCTGTCACATGTAGGGGAAACGGTTAAATAAATTCTGTGTAATTTAGATTTTGAGTAGTGCAGTCTATGCGTTTCTTTAAATTGAATTAATTTATGCCTGCCAGGAATCAGGGGCGTAGGGGGAAACATTCCCCTCACTTTTAAAGACAGACCATTTAAAAACAGGTGATTTGGAAAGTTAACTTTTGGATTTCATACAGCTATATTGAATGTCGTGTCAGAAATAGAGAGGGGAATGCATGATTATGATATATTAGGGCAGAAGTAGTAAGTTAGTGTCTGGTAATTTGCAGCACTTCTTAATTTGACGCCATATTTTTAAACAGTTTGAAACAATTAAATTATCAATCTTAACTGATGCGAGCAATTTAGTATTTGAAAACAGCAGGGCTGTTTGTAATTTTTATTCAATGGTGACCCAGTGGGGTGTATCAGTCGAGATTTCGACTTTATAATCATCTTACCAGTAGACAAGGGCCCTGGCATTAACTTTTAATCCTATAAAAGAGATTTGATATAATCAGACTCACCAGATGAGGAATCAGGCAGCGAGTACAACATCACCACACACACTAACAATAATAATGGAGTCTTCATTCTGCAGCTATGAGAAACCACATGAGAATGTCCGATGCTGCGTCCAAAATGTGCAAACAAATCGTAGTTTAGGAGTTCCCTAAAGTTACCCGGATGATCCACTGTTTCGTCGTCACTTTAAACGTGACGTTGTGTTAACTAATATTTAATTTAGACTCAACATAAACAAATCTGAGAAACAGTATATGCCAGCATTGTGATATCAAACAAGAAAAGAAAAGAAAAAAATGGTGGAAATATGTTTAAAACTTTACTCTTTTGGGAGAACAGATTTTAAGACGATTCAAATAATAATGCCCGTGTGGCATCTAGTGGAATAATCGAATAGCATATTGTGCCATTTTCATAATAATAAATATGAAATTAGGTTTTCTTTAGAACAGAAATGTTAAATGATTGATTCTGTTTATAAAATAGACCTCATGAATAAAATGTAAAGAACATTTATTTCTAAAAGCTGCATTTGAGCAAATTATAGTGACAGACAACACTGTTCATCAAATGAATCATTTTTTAAAAATCATTTATTAACAATTAACAGAATAATTATTATAACTGATCCTCAAATGTAATGAACACTGTTACATGAGCAGGGCTTTTACATTTACATTTAGTCATTTAGCAGACGCTTTAATCCAAAGCGACTTTTAAACTTTTAGATGCCACACAGGCCCAAATATGATCATTATTTTGTGAGGAATCTCAATAAAGTAAATGGCAAGACCCAATTTATACTGTGAAGGTATATTATTATAAATGGTTGTGAAATATTATTTGTTATACAGTGCTCAGCATATATAAGTACCCCTCTCATAAATCTCTTTTTTAAATTCATATTTTAATAGGAAGCTATACACTATTATATTTGCACATACATTAGATTAATCAGTGCTGAAGCCAAATCTGGAGATTATCGAACAAAAGAACTTACGATAACAGTTCTAAAACTAGTACAGCCAAATTTATAAGTAATAGAAAATTATTACATACAAATTTAAACAAGATGAAATTCCAAGAGAAGCAAAAAAAAATAAAAATAAAAAAAAATAATATATATATCTTTACATTTCTAAATATGTTTGGTAACAAAAATTTTATTTTAATAAAAATATCATATTCATATATATTCAAATGAAGCAAAATTGCCTATATTCACTGAGAAATGGATAAAAACATACATTTTCAATATGGGGTGTACTCAATTATGCTCAGCACTGTATATTTAAAGTATGAAATAATTTCAGCTTTTCTTCTATTATATTAATATTATTAGATATTGTAATTGAAGCAGCACTTATAAATAAACTATTTAATTTTATTATATTTAAATACATTTGTATAACATAGTTATTTGATTATTTTACCTGTATTTATTTGTTTGTTAAAATAGACAGTTTGCATATTTATTTGAATCTATTTAAAAAACTTTGGTATATTTTTAGATTTTATTGTTATTTTTTATTATATTTTATTTAAATAATTTTGCAATACTTTAATTATTTAAAAAAAATCTCCAAATATTTCAGAGGCTCCGGTTTGTAAAGCTGACCCAAACTATACAGAAAAAGAAACAGTAGTAGTATTTGACAACTAACATGAGATATTTTAATAAGGAATAATATTAACACTCAACATTTGCATGAGATCATGAACATTTATTGACACATAAACAAGATCAACACATTTGAATAATACAGAATAATAATACATGCAATACATTACAATAACAACACTCTGAAATGTTGAGATACTATTTTGCAGCTTTATTTTACAAATGGTCATATGTATGGGGTGTGTATCCAAGTAAGTGCAGAAAATATCTTCCAAGTTTCATACTGGTGAGCCCGAAACTGATTTCATGCTTATGACCTTCTGGACCCATTCATTGTCTAGATTCATACAGATATGTCTCTTTGCTATTGTAACAAACCTAAAGCAGATGCGAATAAAGCTTTAAACATGAGTATGAAGTGAGAATATATTGTTAGCAGTAATATATAGAAGAGATACTCACACAATGTGTTTGAAGGGGCAGTGGCTGCTTGTCCAGTAAAAATACTTCAGTCGTTTCAGAGGAATTCTGCTGTTACTGTTACCAAAGCAGCAGATACTGTTTCCAGCATCAATAGATTCTTGACCTGAAAATGTAAAAGGGTCACAGGTAAAATGGCATTCTGCCTGTTTTTAAACATGGAATTTGTTTGTTGTTCGTTATTAAAATAAAACCATTAAATAAGGAAACATAAATGAATACCTGGACTCTCTCGGTATAGCAAATATTGCAAATTCAGGAACACATTACATTAAGGATTAAAGACTGTTTAATTACATGGTCATAACATTTGACTTAAATATAAAAATCAGGCAATAATGCATTAAATATGTCCAAAAGCCTTCTGTTACTGCACTGTTAACCCTTACTGTAGATTATGCAGTAAATAACTGTAAAATAGCCAGTGTTTTGCTGTAATAAAAGGAAACAGTATTTTACTGTAAAAGGAGCAGGATTTGTATGAAATTTTGTAGTGCAAAGAATAAATTACAGTAATTTACTTTATGTACCCATTACAGATAGTTACTGTGATAATAAATGGTAAATTACTGCTCAACCATTATTACCCCATGTACTCTGATGCTTTATGTTGCTATATATATATATATATATATATATATATATATATATATATATATATATATATATATATATATATATATATATACTGTTCAGTTTTGGTATGTGTATGGTCAGTATTGAGGAGAAAAGTGAGACAATGCATTAATGATAAGCTAAATTTCTCTGCAGCCATCTTTGTGTTTTCTTTGGTTCCTTTTATGTTTTAACATTGAGTATCAGGAGTCAACCAATGTCAATGTCACAGAGCTAATTAAAAGGTAAAGATATCGACGAGATGCATTTAAAGGCAAAAATATTCACACAGAGCAACCAAATTATCACAATCATTTTTATAACTTTGTTTACTTTTCTATAATTAATCTAATTTGCCTAGTTTAGCCTATAGTTAAGCTTTTAAATTGCACTTTAAGCTGAATATTAGTATTTTGCTAAATAACTAGTTAAAATGTGTTATTTAAAAAATATCTTAAACAGCACGTACATACATTTTTGCATAGACTCAATTAATTTGTCTGGAAAACTTCAAATGAAGTAGGTAAAAGTGGCATTAACAGTATAGTATAAAGGCTTTCCTAAATAAATGTATTAATCAGGTAATTTTATTTATTTATTTATTTTTATTACTACAGTTTTGGAACAACATGTGGATCAGATTATTTATTATTATTATTATTATTTATTTATTTTTTTGCTTTGGATGAAGTTTTTATATTTTTATTGTTTTTATTCAATGATATGTGCATGATTGTGATAAATGTAGGCAGTTTCTTTGAAAATATGCTATGTACCAGGGATGTCAAACTCCTGAAGGGCCGCAGCCCAGCAGAATTTAGTTCCAGCCCTGCTTCAACACACTACCTTTATAGATTTAGTTTGATCAGGTGTGTTTAATTAGTATAACTGCACTGTTACTCTGTAGATTGTGCAGTAAATAACTGTAAAAAACAATGATTTGGGCATCACCACACACTCCCACAGGCTGTCCGTCTAATTCTAAACACAAAGGTGTTAGAAAGAGTTTTCAGAAAATGCCGGCCCTTTAAGGGAGCCAGGTGTTTGATTTGTTTACTGCTGAGTGTGCTCTCTGCTATGTCCATCAATTGAGATGTAGAGTCTGATATGTTTTAGGCTTTAAATAAGAATCTACAATGAGTAAGTAAAATGTGTTCAAATGTTTTTGAAGGTTTCTAAAATAAGGCTGTGTTTTAAGTTATATTGTTGTTATCTTGAACTGTGTACTTGAAAGCTACACTGTTAGCTAGTTAGCCTCTCCTCATATAACTTCTTACATTACTTTTGTTTAAGTACAGTATATGTATTTATTGGATATTGCATACTGCCATAATGTACAGATGCTAACAGTTGTTTGTATCTTTCTGGCAACTAAGCCAAAATTAAATTCCATCATCTCTGTAAGGTAACATGTATACATCATCACAGGGATTCACAAAAACATGATACACATAGCCATCCACACACAAAAGCTCCACTGTCCGGTCCCAGGTTGTGAGTTTGTTGCTAAGTATTTTTCAGAGCAGTGTTTCCACCTATGAATTTATATTAAAAACAAAAAAAAAGTTTGTTGTCATGAGATAATTATAACAATAAAAGATTGGATCCTTTGGTTTTTCAGTGTTGCCAACTTTATTTTTGTTTTCTACAATTATTTTAAACTTTTTTTGAGAGTTGACACAGTTTTTAATTATTTAAAACTTTAAAATTTAAAATAATTATTTTGTGTTTTTTGCTGTTCTTTTTTTTTTTTTTTTTTTTTTGCATGGTCAGCATTGAGGAGAGAGTAACACATTTCACTGCAGCACTTTGTGTGTGTGTGTGTGTTTATTGGATATGTGATTGTGATAAATGTTGGCAGTTGCTTTAAAAGTATTGCTAATACCAGGGGTTCTCAATCCTGTTCCTGGAGATCTACCTTCCTGCAGATTTCAGTTGCTATCCATATAAAACACACCTGAACCAATTAATTAGGACCTGAACACCACGTGATAATTACAGGCAGGTGTGTTTGATATGGGTAGCAACTGAAATCTGCAGAACAGAGTTTAGTACCCACCCTACTTCAACATTACCTGTAGAATTCTAACAAGCCTTAATTAGTTTGATCAGGTGTGTTTAATTAGAGTTACAGCTTAAAGTCCCGGTCACACTGCACTTTTCTCCCTATAGACTTCCATTCATACACATGTGAGTACTGCAGACCTGGAATGATTGCTCATGCGACAAATTTCATAATTTGCAGCATTGGAAAGTTCAAGCTTGGAGAACGCTGAATGCGAAATCACATCATGTGATTGTTTGAGACCAATCAAAGATCAAAACATTACCTCTCTGGCTTGCTTTTTCAATCTCTAATTATTTTGTTTAATTCCACTCCTCGCTTTGTTTAATTCCACTTCGCAGTGCAGTATGACAGAATTTTGCATGCTCAAACATTAGTATGACCGCAGTCTTACTGTACAGACCTGTAATATGCAAGACAATATTTATATCTGCTGATTTCTTAATTTTGTTAAACATTTTCTGTTATTTATTTGTTTGGTGCCAAAACAATAAAATAAATTTGTCTGAAAAAATGTTCTGCCTTCTATTTTTAAATAACAGCTAAGAATACTGATTAATTTTAGTAACACTACAATAACTATATATGACATACTATTAATGTGTATGCAGTATAGTGCGGTGATTTGTAACACTACAGTACAGTAATTAACTGTGCACAGTTTCCAGTTAGTTACCACTGCTGCTCTATTACAGTAATTAACTGGCAACACTGTTGCCAGCTACTCACTGTATCGGTTCAGTTACAGTAAATAACTGGCAACACTGTTGCCAGCCACTCACTGTAATGGTTTAGTTACAGTAGAATACTGGCAACGCTGTTGCCAGCCACTCACTGTAATGGTTCAGTTACAGTAATTAACTGGCAACACTGTTGCCAGTTACTTACTGTAACCAAACTTTTACAGTGAGTAGCTGGCAACAGTGTTGCCAGTATTCTACTGTAAAAAACCCTGGTAAGGTCTAACAGTGTGCCTTTACCAAAGCAGCAGATACCTTTACGAATAGATTGCTGACCTAAAAAGTGAAATGTTCACTTGTAAAATTCAGCACATTTTATTTATCCAGCTGACCAATATTATAAGGAGACAATGCAACTACACAACAACAATAAAAAAAAAAAAAAAAGCATGATAATACAAAGAAAACAATGGTAATAATAATAATAAAAATAAAGAAAAATAGATGAAAAAATAAAGTTATTATTAAAAAATAAGCAGCGCATATAAACGTTTCAATGAAAATACAAAGAGGCAGTCAATAGGGTTAGTGAGTAAATTAAGCATTACACTGCTGCTCAGAATTCGCATTATACACTGTTAGACCTTACCGGGCGTTTTTACAGTAGAATACTGGCAACACTGTTGCCAGTTACTCACTGTAAAAGTTTGGTTACAGTAAGTAACTGGCAACAGTGTTGCCATTTAATTACTGTAACTGAACCATTACAGTGAGTGGCTGGCAACAGTGTTGCCAGTTATTTACTGTAACTGTACCAATACAGTGAGTAGCTGGCAACAGTGTTGCCAGTTAATTACTGTAATAGAGCAGTAGTGGTAACTAACTGAAAACTGTGCACAGTTAATTACTGTACTGTAGTGTTGCAACTCACAGCAATATACTGCATACACATTAATAGTATGTCATAGTCTTACTAAAATTAATTAGTATTCTTACCTGTTATTAAAAATAGAAGGCATAAAAATTTAGACAAATGTATTTGATTGTTTTGGCAGCAAACAAATATACAACAGAAAATGTATAACAAAATTAAGAAATCAGCAGATATAAATATAGATATAAAACCTGATCATCTTTCATATTACAGGTCTGCACAGTAAGGCTGCGGTCACACTAACGTTTGAGCATGCAAAATTCTGTCATACGGCACTGCGAAAAGAAGTGGGATTAAACAAAATTATTAGAGATTGAAAAAGCAAGTGACTGGTCCATAGTTTAAATTTTTGTTCAGACAGGTCATGTTTTGATCTTTGATTGGTCTCAAGCAATCACATGATGTGATTTCGCAGGTCAGAGATCTCCAAGTTTGAACTTTCCAATGCTGCAAACAGTGAAATTTGTCGCATGAGCCAGCATTCCAGGTCTGCAGCATTCACATGCGTTTGAATGGAAGTCTAAAGGGAGAAAAGTGCAGTGTGACTGGGACTTTAAGCTGTAACTCTAATTGAACACACCTGATCAAACTAATTAAGGCTTGTTAGAAATCTACAGGTAATGTTGAAGCAGGGTGTGAACTAAACTCTGCTGCGCTGCAGTCCTCCAGGAACTTGGAGTTTGACCCCCATGGTATATAGCATATTTTTAAAGCAACTGCCAACATTTATCACAATCACATATCAAATAAAAAAAATTCTCTCTCTTCAATGCTGACCATGCAAAAAAAAAAAAAAAACTAAACAGCAAAAAACAAAAAATAATTATTTTATTTTTTGAAGTTTCAAATAATTAAAAAATAAGCATATGAAAAGAACACACACATACTCTCTCTCTCTCTCTCTCTCTCTCTCTCTCTATATATATATATATATATATATATATATATATATATAGAAACATGTTTGTCAAACAAAGGCAGATACTGTCAATTCTCAATAAAAAGTTTAAAATAATTATAAAAAACAAAAACTAAGTCGGCAACACCGAAAATCCAAAGGATCCAATCTTTTATTGTTATAATTATTATCTACTTTAAAATCTCATGACCACAAACTTTTCTATGGTTTCTAATATAAATTCATAGGTGGAAACACAGCTCTGAAAAATACTTAGCAACAAACTCACAACCTGGGACCTGACAGTGGAGCTTTTGTGTGTGGATAATTATTTGTATAATATTTTTTGTGATTCCCTGTGATGATTTCTGTGCACATGTTACCTTACTGAGGTGATGGAATTTATTGGTTTTTATGTGCATAAACTTTTAGCATCTGTACATTATTGCAATATGCAATATCCAATAAATGAATATACTTAAAAGCGAGCACAGGCTAACTAGCTAACAATGTAGTTTTCAAGTACACAGTTCAAGATAACAACAATATAGCTTAAAACACAGCCTTATTTTAGAAACCCTCAAAAACATTTTAACACATTTTACTTACTCATTGTAGATTCTTATTTAAAGCCTAAAACATCAGACTCTACATCTGAATTGATAGACAGAGAATAGAGCACACTCAGCAGTACACAAATCAAACACCTGACTCCCTTAAAGAGCCAGCATTTTCTGAAAACTTTTTCTAATACCTTTGTGTTTAGAATAAGACAGCCTGTGGGAGTGTGGTGAGGCCTAAATCATTGTTTTCTGCCTTTAAAATGCACGTCTCTATAAACAGCACCACAAAGCATCAGAGTAAATGGGACAGTAATGGTTGAACAGTAATTTGCCATTTATTGTCACAGTACATAAAGTAAATTACTGTAATTTATCCTTTGCATTACACAATTTTATACAAACTCTACTCCTTTTACAGTAAAATACTGTTTCCTTTCATTACAGCAAAACACTGACTATTTTGCAGTTATTTACTGCATAATCTACAGGGTAAGAGTGCAGTTAAGCTTTAACCCTAATTAAGCACACCTGATCAAACTAAATCTAAAGGTAGTGTGATGAAGCAGGGCTGGAACTAAATTCTGCTAGGCTGCGGCCCTCTAGTAGTTTGACACCCCTGGAGCATAGCATATTTTCAAATCAACTGCCTACATTTATCACAATCATGCACATATTGTTTAATAAAAACAATTAAAATATGCAAACTTCATCCATAGGAAAAAAAAATGATAATAAATAATCTGATCATCATGTCATTCCAAATTTGTAGTAATAATAAAAAAACACAAAAATTACATGATTTATACATTTATTTAGGTAAGCCTTTATACTATACTGTTAATGCCACTTTTGCTTACTTTAATTGAAGTTTTACAAACAAATTCATTGAGTCTCTCTCTGCAAACATGTATGTACGTGCTGTTTAAGATATTTTTTTTTAAATAACACATTTTTACTAGTCATTTAGCAAAATACTAATATTCAGTTGAAAGTGCAATTTAAAAGCTAAACTATAGGTTAAATTAGGCAAAGTAGACTAATTATAGAAACGTAAACAAAGTTATAAGAATTATTATGACAATTTCTTTGCTCTGTGTGAATATTTTTGCCTTTAAATGCATTTCATCCATATCTTATGCTTAGCTTTTAATGATCTCTGTGGCATTGGTTGACTCCTGATACTCAATGCTAAAACTTAAAAGAAACCAAAGAAAACACATGGCTGCAGTGGAATTCAGCTTATCATCAATGCAATGTCCCACTCTCCCCTCAATACTGACCATTCACATATCAAAACTGAACAGTAAATGGATATAAATATATAAAATTATATAATAAATATAAATAGCAACATAAAGCATCAGAGTAGATGGGGCAGTAATGGTTGATCAGTAATTTACCATTTATTATGACAGTAAATATCTGTAATGGGTACATAGAGTAAATTACTTTGATTTATTCTTTGCACTACAGAATTTCATACAAATCCTGCTTCTTTTACAGTAAAATACTGTTTCCTTTCATTACAGCTAAAAACTGGCTATTTTACAGTTATTTACTGCATAATCTACGGTAAGGGTTAACAGTGTATTGGTCCAGATGATCAAGAAATGGTTGCCATATACAGTTGAAGTCAGAATTATTAGCCCCCGCTAGAATTTATTTTTCTTTTTTAAATTTTTGATTTTTTGAACAAATGATGTTTAACAGGTTCAGGAAATTTTCACAGAATGTCTGATAATATTTTTTTCTTCTAGAGAAAGTCTTATTTGTTTATTTCGGCAAGAATAAAAGTGGTTTTTAATTTTTAAACACAATTTTAATTTTAAGCTAATTTTTTTTGACTGTCTACAGAACAATCCATCATTTACAATAACTTGTCTAATTACCCTAGCCTGCCTAGTTAACCTAATTAACCTTGTTAAGCCTTTAAATGTAACTTTAAGCTGTATAGAAGTGAATAATATCTAGTAAAATATTATTTACTGTCTTCATGGCAAGGATGAAATAAATCAGTTATTAGAAATCAGTTATCAAAACTATTATGTTTAGAAATGTGTTGAAGAAAATCTTCTCTCCATTAAACAGAAATTGGGGAAAAAAATAAACAGGCGGGCTAATAATTCTGACTTAAACTGTATTGTAAAATCAACTTAACACTTTCATCAGTAATCGTTCTATAAATTATGGTATTTTGTATGAACACATTATAATCCAGCAGAGAACGAGAGTACCCAAATATAACAATTTCTGGGTCAGGTGTGAAGGTAAAAACATATATATCAGAAAACCATTTAAATATGTCCCACCAGAAATCATAAAGTTTTGAACACGTGACATGAAAAAAGAGGTGGGTCAGGGAGCCTTCAGCAGACTTACAACCTGTCACATGTAGGGGAAACGGTTAAATAAATTCTGTGTAATTTAGATTTTGAGTAGTGCAGTCTATGCGTTTCTTTAAATTGAAATAATTTATGCCTGCCAGGAATCAGGGGCGTAGGGGGAAACATTCCCCTCACTTTTAAAGACAGACCATTTAAAAACAGGTGATTTGGAAAGTTAACTTTTGGATTTCATACAGCTATGAGCTATATTGAATGTCGTGTCAGAAATAGAGAGGGGAATGCATGATTATGATATATTAGGGCAGAAGTAGTAAGTTAGTGTCTGGTAATTTGCAGCACTTCTTAATTTGACGCCATATTTTTAAACAGTTTGAAACAATCAAATTATCAATCTTAACTGATGCGAGCAATTTAGTATTTGAAAACAGCAGGGCTGTTTGTAATTTTTATTCATTGGTGACCCAGTGGGGTGTATCAGTCGAGATTTCGACTTTATAATCATCTTACCAGTAGACAAGGGCCCTGGCATTAACTTTTAATCCTATAAAAGAGATTTGATATAAGCCCCTTTCACACATACAGACCTTTCCGGAAAATTACCGGCAATTTTCCGGAAAGGTTGTATGTGTGAACAGGTCCTTTTTGAAAATACCGGTAAATTCGTTCTGGCTATTTTCCGGAAAGAGAAGTTGTAACATTACCGGCAATTTGCCGGAATGCTGCGCTGTGTGAACGCAGAAGGAATATTTCCGGAATAAGCGCGTGCACGTCTAGAACGTGCTGACGTAAGACTTCTGCTTTAGCCAATCACAACAGTCAGACGCATTTACGTCCGCGCGGTTTGTGAGAATAAAAGCCTTTGAATATTTTTCCAGACGCATTTAGCTGCTAGAAGTTAGTCAGATAAGGTTTATATGTTCTCCTTAATGCCAACTGTGCAAATAATCATCGATAAGATGCTTATGATAAGCCGTTGTTTGTTTACCTTCAAGCTTTGCGTGTGCCCATGAAACAGCCTGTGAGCGGCAGCACATGCACATATTACGAACATCTCGACATGCGAATATGATCCTGTGAAAGTTGTTTACAATATTGATCATCAAAAGAGTTTGTAATTTAGTCAAATGTTTACAAATACAAGCGCAGCCGTTTAAAGCTCATTTGTGGTGAATGATGTCAGAATTTACCGGTATTTTGGAATGGATGTGTGAATGCTCTTTTCCGGAAAATTTCCGTAACGTCCTCGCCTGTGTGAACAGCGCTTTTTTGAACATACCGGTAAAGTCGTTCCGTAAATTTTCCGGATATTTTCCGGTATCACTGTGTGAAAGGGGCTATAGTCAGACTCACCAGATGAGGAATCAGGCAGCGAGCACAACATCACCACACACACTAACAATAATAATGGAGTCTTCATTCTGCAGCTATGAGAAACCACAGGAGAATGTCCGATGCTGCGTCCAAAATGTGCAAACAAATCGTAGTTTAGGAGTTCCCCAAAGTTACCCGGATGATCCACTGTTTCGTCGTCACTTTAAACGTGACGTTTTGTTAACTAATATTTAATTTAGACACAACATAAACAGATCTGAGAAACAGTATATGCCAGCATTGTGATATCAAACAAGAAAAGAAAAGAAAAAAAATGGTGGAAATATATTAAAAACTTTACTCAATTGGGAGAACAGATTTTAAGACGATTCAAATAACAATGCCCGTGTGCCATCTAGTGGAATAATCGAATAGCATATTGTGCCATTTTCATAATAATAAATATGAAATTAGGTTTTCTTTAGAACAGAAATGTTAAATGATTGATTCTGTTTATAAAATAGACCTCATGAATAAAATGTAAAGAACATTTATTTCTAAAAGCTGCATTTGAGGAAATTATCCTAGTGACAGACAACACTGTTCATCAAATAAATCATTTTTTAAAAATCATTTATTAACAATTAACAGAATAATTATTATAACTGATCCTCAAATGTAATGAACACTGTTACACAAACAGGGCTTTTAAACTTTTAGATGCCACACAGGCCCAAGACCCAATTTATACTGTGAAGGTATATTATTATAAATGGTTATGAAATATTATTTGCTATACATTGCTCAGCATATATAAGTACCCCTCTCATAAATCTCTTTTTTTAAATTCATATTTTAATAGGAAGCTATACACTATTATATTTGCATATACATTAGATTAATCAATGCTGAAGCCAAATCTGGAGATTATCTAACAAAATAACTTACGATAACGGTCCTAAAACTAGTACAGCCAAATTTATAAGTAATAGAAAATTATTACATTCAAATTTAAACAAGAGGAAATTTCAAGAGAAGCAAAAAAAAAAAAAAAAAAAAAAAAAAAAAAAAAAAAAAATATATATATATATATATATATATATATATATATATATATATCTTTACATTTCTAAATATGTTTGGTGAAAAAAATATTATTTTAATAAAAATATCATATTCATATATATTCAAATGAACCAAAATTGCCTATATTCACTGAGAAATGGATAAAAACATACATTTGCAATATGGGGTGTACTCAATTATGCTCAGCACTGTATATTTAAAGTATAAAATAATTTCAGCTTCTCTTCTATTATATTAATATTATTAATTCTTGTAATTTAAGCAGCACTTATAAATAAACTATTTAATTTAATTATATTTAAAAACATTTGTATGACAGTTATTTGATTATTTTACCTGTATTTATTTGTTTGTTAAAATAGACAGTTTGCATATTTATTTGAATCTATTTAAAAAACTTTGGTATATTTTTAGATTTTATTGTTATTTTTTATTATATTTTATTTAAATAATTTTGCAATACTTTAATTATTTAAAAAAAATCTCCAAATATTTCAGAGGCTCCGGTTTGTAAAGCTGACCCAAACTATACAGAAAAAGAAACAGTAGTAGTATTTGACAACTAACATGAGACTATTTTAATAAGGAATAATAGTAACACTCAACATTTGCATGAGATCATGAACATTTATTGACACATAAACAAGATCAACACATTTGAATAATACAGAATAATAATACATGCAATACATTACAATAACAACACTCTGAAATGTTGAGATACTATTTTGCAGCTTTATTTTACAAATGGTCATATGTATGGGGTATGTATCCAAGTAAGTGCAGAAAATATCTTCCAAGTTTCATACTGATGAGCCTGAACCTGATTTCATGTTTATGACCTTCTGGACCCACTCATTGTCTGGATTCATACAGAGATGTTTCTTTGCTATTGTAACAAACCTAAAGCAGATGAGAATAAAGCTTTAAACATGAGTATGAAGTGAGAATATATTGTTAGCAGTAATATATAGAAGAGATACTCACACAACGTGTTTGAGGGGGCAGCGGCTGCTTGTCCAGTAAAAATACTCCAGTCGTCTCAGAGGAATTTTGATGTTACTGCCTTTACCAAAGCAGCACATACTGTTTGCAGCATCAGCAGATTCTTGACCTTAAAATGTAAAAGGTTTACATGTAAAATGGGATTCAGCCTGTTTGTTCATTGGTGGTGCTAATTGGGGGACTTAACAGTTCAAAGGGGTGCTAAATAAAAATAAAACCATTAAATAAGGAAACATAAATGAATGCATGGACTCTCTCTGTATAGCAAATATTGCAAATTCAGGAACACATTACATTAAGGATTAAAGACTGTTTAATTACATGCTCATAACATTTGACTTAAATATAAAAATCAGGCATGATGTATTAAATATGTGCTAATTTTCATACAATTCTAACACAAAATTCAAATTAATTGGATAAATTCAGGTTCTACATTTTATTATTATTATTTTAAATTATTAGAGTCAAGGGCTTATACAGTTATTTTTGTATAAAATTGGTCAAACAATATAATTTACTTAGTTAATAATGGTTAAATCAGAGAAATGATTGTTTTTTAAGGAGAAAGACTGCCTTGCTTTGGGAAATCTGGAGCAAGAAGCACTTTACATCCCATGAAAGAGGAGAGAGATCAGAATCAGACTTACCATCTGAGGGTTGAGGCAGAAGAGCGCAGCACAGCACTGCAAACAGTAAAGCGGTCTTCATGATGATCTTCATTCTTCAGGTATGCTTGATGAACCAGTTGAGAGATACTGAGTCTGAGTGTCTGGTGAACTGCCAGAGCTCCATTATATAGAGAGAGAACATTAGTTAATGTCAATTCTGAAAGAATTCCCCTGCTCTAAATCTCTGGATCAGTGACGCAAACTTTTTTGAGTAGGAAAAAAAATGCCCGTCTTCCTCTGCATTTTTAAAGTGCAATATATAAATATAGATTATTCAGCATAGTGCAAACTACAAAGGAAATACCCCGAGCCTACAGTACTGAAGCTTTCTAATTAAAATGACCTCCTACAAATATCCAAATATAGATGCGTGTGAAAGTGACAAGCCCAGTTTCTCTTCGTTCATCAGCTAATTAAAGTGTGAGCGTCATCTTGAAAGTGAAATGTAAACACAAACACCATGTATGATTCACATTGCTCCCTTTCAACATGTAAAACATTTCAGTAACCTTATCTCTGCAAAATATTTAGTATATTGTGTGACATTTGGATCACAGTGTTTAAATGTTTACAATGTTTTTAAAAACATATTGAGGACAATATTATTAGCCCTGGTCTGAAATATTATTTTAAAAATATTTCTCAAGTGATGTTTAATGGAGCATTAATTTTCACAGTATTTCCGATAATATGTTTCTTCTAGAGAAAGTCCTATTTGTTTTATTTCAGCCAGAATAAAAAATGAAGTTTTGTTATTGGCATTGATAATTCAAGAGACTTTAACATTCATGGAACTATTTAATTCTCCAAAAGACTTTTTAGATCATGGTTCTTTCAAGAACCTTTCACTTTAAGATTGTTTGAGGAACCAAAACAGTGGCGTCATTGTTAAAAAAAAACTTGTTAGTTCTTCCTGGAACCTTAATTTTTAAGAGCATAAAAACGAATAGCTATATTTCAGAAATACAATTTTTTAAATTTTGTTTTAATGAAGGAAACAATCTTGCAAACATGTAGACTAACATTTATAACCAAATATGTCATAATTAGACTCACAAACTGAGCACAACACAGTGTCAGAAACATGATTGAACCTTTAATTATTCAGGCATGATTTACCTCAAGAGAACAAAATATGATGAATATGTACTGCCAGTATAGATGATAGAAAGAAATACCAATTGCTGATTCAGTAAACCAGTAGCACCCTTCTTCTGGGTAGAAAATAACACGGGGTCTTTTATCTTATCTTCTGCCTGAAGATGTAAGTGCTATTTTCATATAGGAAATACCCTATACATCTATCTATAGGCTACCAGAGGTGTCAAACATGCTGCCGGCAAAGGTTAAACAACTATATTAAGATTAGGTGACATCAGCAAATGGCACCCAGAAGCTATTGACATTAAATTTAGTGAAAAATCAAAATTATACATTTGGTTTTCACTTTCTGGAATAAGCCACTAAAACCTGTGATATTTGCTGACAAATAATGTCCTGTGTAACTGATAACCCAACCCGACTGATGTCTGCTAGTGTATAATGTATTGTAGTCTCACTTGTTTAACCAGAGAATGATAATACATTTACAAGCTGTCAAACAGTTCTACAACATATATTAGCCTTCCCTATAATTCAAATTAATTTTTAGTGGCCCTAAATTCAAAAACAATCCTAATTTCTAAAAAAAGTTGTGAAGTTACATGTAATTTTAGATTTTTCTATTTGTTTTTTAGGCAATTTTAGTTGCCAATCATTCTGTAAAATTTACAAGAGCACTGCAAATTAACAATTACAATTGCGCTGTAGTTTTACAACACAATCATAATTATAAATGGTTATAATTTATAAATAATTATATATTGTAAACTTTATAAATTATTGTTAATCTTTACAGTATTACAGGTAAATTTTACAATATTACTGGCTATTTTACAGTATTACTGTAAAATTTACAAGAGCACTGCAAATTAACAATTACAATTGCGGTTTAGTTTTACAGCACAATAGTAATTATTAATTTATAGTGTGTTTGTAAATTTTACAGCATTACTGGCAATTTTAACAGTATTACTGGCATAATTTACAATAGCACTACAAACTCATAAATACAACTGCACTGTAGTTTTACAACACAATCATAATTATCAATTTATAGCGTGTTTGTAAATTTTATACATTATCGGCAATCTTTACAGTATTACTGGTAAATTTTACAGTATTACCGACTATTTTACAGCATTACTGTACAATTTACAAGAGCACTGCAAATTAACAATTACAAATGCACTGTAGTTTTACAATACATTTGTAGTTATTAATTTATAGCGCGTTTGTAAATTTTAGTGTTACTGGCTTTTTTACAGGATTACTGGCCAATTTTACAGTATTACTGTCTATTTTACAGTATCACTGGCAAAATGTACGAGAGCACTGCAAATTAACAATTACAATTGCACTGGTAGTTTTACAGCACAATTGTAATTATTCTTTTATAGCCCATTTGTTAATTATTACAGTATTCCTTCCAATTTTTACAGTTTTACTGGCTATTTTAAAGTATTGCTATCTATTTTACTGTATTACTGGCTATTTTACAGTTTTTCTGGCAAATTTTACAGTATTACTGGCTATTTTACAGTTTTACTGGCAAAATTTTACCGTATTACTGGCTATTTTATAATATTACTGGCAATTTTCATTGTATTACTGGCTATTTTACAGTTTAACCGACAAATTTTACAGTATTACTGGCTCTTTCATAGTATTACTGGTGATTTTACAGTATTACTGGCTATTTTTTACAGTAATTCTGTAAATTTACAAGTGCACTGTAAATTTTACAGTATTACTGGCATCCAGAATTGCCAGTAATAATGTAAACTTTACAGCATTTTTTACTGTGTATACACTGTAGCTGAAAAATGTATCACAAAACAACATCTCAACAATAAGCAGAATAACTGAATCCTGTTTGTATACAACTAAAAATGATTAAAAATGCGAGTCCATCGTCAAATATTTATGACTTTATATAATTGACAAAAACACAAACAACATATTTCCAGCTTTTTCGCTGATCAGATATTCTATAAAAATAAGCCAATTTAGATTTTGAAAACTGAACATGTTTTCAAATAAGAATGTTTATTTATAGATGCATAGTTCTCTGTACCTGTATGGGTTCATTTGTTAGTCTGATTTAATGCAAATAAAAATAAACACCAGACTAACTTGGAGTGTGTTGTCCTAACTAAAATTGCGGACAGTTTTTTTTTCATTGAAAACTGGAAGGAGGTCTAAATATAATATGACAGATGTTGTTCAAAAGAACATTTAGGGGGAACTGAAAGAATTTTTATTTACTAAGTAATGTACAAAAACGAACTTCCTCACATATTTTGCTTGGAAATGGCCCACATTTCAAAAAGAAGTCTATACTTTTATGGACTCCATAAACTCTTACCTAATTACTATTTTCCTAATTTTCTATTTTCTATCCTTTGAATGACTGAGCTTGTGTTTGTAAACTTTAGGAGGCTCTGTCTTTTAGTTGATGGTTTCAATTTTGTTTAAACCTTTAGCATTCATGCAGCAGCTTTAGTCCTAGAAACAAACAAAAATACTATAGGAGAGAAACATGCAGGTCTGATGGGGCATATGAGTCTTGCTCAATAGTAAAACTTGTATTCCAGAGCAATTCTCACAGAGGTTGCTTCATCACACACTTGAAAAAAATTGCATTTGCAGATTTTACAAACTAGTTATTTAAAACTAGCTGAAACAACACAATTCATTCATTCATTCTCTTTTCGGCTTAGTCCCTTTATTAATCCGGTACCCAGGGGCCAGCCGAGGCTCGAACCAGCAACCTTCTTGCTGTGAGGCGACAGCACTACCTACTGCGCCAATGCGTCACCTGAAACACCACAATTCATGAGGTTTTTTTTTTTGTGACAACTCAGTTGTTTCACGTTTAATCCAGCTAAATCTGAACAACCTAATGAGTTAACCTTATTACTACATGTACCAACACAAATTAATTATGTGCAACCTAGCCTTTTTATAGTGCAGTTGTCCTTTACCATCTCATCTAAATCTCATCCTAAACAAGAGTTAAAGATGCTAAAATGTGATTCAACATCATGATCTTATTGCTCAGGTTTTTTAGATGTAGAAATATTCTCCAATAATAAAGAAATAAAAACAACATAGCATATTTTAAAATTTAAACGAAAACAGTCCTCGGTAAAACACAATCATGTGAAGGTAAATAGATGGGTGGGGGATTACATAGTGTCGTTATTTTGGGCAGCATGAGAAGAGGAATTTTTTATGCCTGGGCATGAAACTGGTGGGCTGGTTGGCGAGGTGGGCATGGGTCTGAGGGGGAGGCTGCTTTTCTTATCATAACACCTCTGTTAATGAGGACAGGGGCGGATGTTACACGATTTTAGGCCGGAAAATTCCACAGTCGCCCAGGCCATCCTCAACCAACACTTCAACAAATAATAGTCATAAATAAAACAAACTATTATACACTCCAAAAATAGTTTTTGCTGCTTGTTCAAACTACACTAAAAAAAAATATTCAAAGATGATTCCTTGGATTTACTTAGTTTTTTTAAGTTTAGTGGTTGCAAACCATTTATTTGTGTTGAATTTAAACAAACAAATTAAGTTGAACATTATTAAACTTAATTTGTTTGTTTAAGTTCAACACAAATAAATTGTTTGCAACAGTTCTGCTTGCAAAAATTTTTCAGTGTATGTATTTAAAATGAGCTGAATCAACAGAATTACTGAGCTGTGTTTAGGACAACTTCATTGTTTTGTGTTCAATCCACTTACATTTGTATAAACAATTAAGTTAACTCAATCAATTTGTGTTTAAGCAACATGAAGCAATTGTGTACACAATGTACATGCAAAAAATATTTGTTGTGCTTCATCAAACTACAACCCGAAGTAGAAAAAGTTGGGACAAAAACAAAACGCAAAAAAAAAAGAAAAAAAAAGTGATTTCTAAGTTTAATTTGACTTGTATTTCATTGCAGACAAACAGGGAAAAATTAAGGCAGCATCTTGTGCTCCAAAGTCTCTATGTACATTTTAGCATTAATAGTGCCATTATAGAAGTGCAAGTTACCACAACCCCATATCGTAACAGACCCTGGGTTTTTACTCGATGCTAGTAACATTCTGGATGATCCTTTTCTTCTATGGTCCAGAGCACACGGCGTCCATTTCTCTCAAAAAATACCTGGGATACTGATTCATCTGACCACAGTTCACGTTTCCACTGTGAGGGTCTATCCAAGATGCCTCTGAGCCCAGAGATGTTGATGATACTGCTGGACACTGTTAACACAGGGCTTCCTTTTGCCACAGTACAGTTTTTACGGGCATTTGTGGATGTAATTATGTATTGTGATACTTGACAAATGTTTTCCAAAGTAGTCCTGAGCCCACATGGTGATATTACTTATAGACTAATAAAATCTGAGGGATCGGAGATAATGGTTGTTCAGCTTTGGTTTGCGCCTCTGGTCTTTACAAAAATTCCTCCAAATTCCTTGAATCTTTTAATGATGTTATGGACTGTTGAAGGTGAAATATCCAAATGTCTCCCTGTCTTTCTTTAAGGAACATTGTTTTTAAACATTTAAATAACTTTCTCACATATTTGTTGGCAAACTGGCGATCGTTGGCCCATCTTTGCTCCTAAAGGACTAGACCTTTCTTGGATGCTGCTTTTCTTCCAAAATATAATTACAATCAGCTGTCGACATCACTTATTTCAAATCAAATCATTTTTAACCAATTTACCCAATTACTAGCTCAAAACTGTTCCTATCACAGCTGTTTTTGGAATGTGTTGCAGGTCTGAACGACAGGAAAGGATGTATATTTACAAATGAAATGAAGTTGACCAGACAAAACACAAAATATTTTGAGTAAATATTTTGTGTTCATATTGTCTGCAAATGTAAGTCAAAGTAAATTTAGAAATCACTAATTTCTTTTTTATTTGCTTTTTCCATACGGTCCCAACTTTTACTGATTTGGTTGTATTTATTTAAAATTAACTAAAACAACATCGTCCTTTTGAATTATAGGGATAACTTAATTGTTTCATGTTCAGTCCACTTCAGTTTATTAAGTTAACTTATTAGATTTGTGTTAGGACAACATGAATGCATTGTTGGAACCTGGAATTTTTTACAGTGTATTTACAGATGAACCGACCGGAGGTCTGGACAGATGGGGAATTTAGCAATATTTCACTTCTGCTTCTTAAAGTGTCTTCTTTCTTTGTGTGGTTTTTCACTTTTTACTCTTCATGACCTCTTTCTGATCCCCGCATGTCTGTTTGATTTTATGCACAGAGAGGATGTATATCGAACCACATACAATGATGACATTTGATGACATGATATTTGTTTAATTATCATTCATTTAAATCGATTGCTGAATTTGGAAATGATCACTTTACTAGTGTTATGACCAGTTATGTAAAATAATTATTAACTGAAAATCTTAAATTTATTGGTCTCAAACTGTATTCCTGGAGAACCAAAGCTCTTCACAGTTTGGCTCCAACTATAATCAAACACAGCTGATCCAACTAATCAAGCTGTTCGAGACTACTAGAGACTGTGTGAATTGAAGGTGGTTGGATCTAAAATTAAAATAGATTAATAAACAGATTTATTCCTTAAATACACTCAGTTCTTTATTGATTGTTACATAATATCTTTAACAACCATAGAAACTTTTTATTTAAAAACAAATCTTTTAAAATAAAACCTTTTTGGCTCTTCCTGGTACCTTTCTTTTAAAAGAGTATAAAGTGGGAGTTATCCAATATTTTCTGAGACAATGGCATGATATTTTTGATAAAGAAAAAATAAAATTAACATTTTTTTAGAGGGACGAGGCAGTGATGCAATGGGTAGTGCTGTTGCCTCATAGCAAAAAGGTTGCTGTGTTGCTGGTTCGAACCTCGGCTCAGTTGGTGTTTCTGTGTGAAGTTTGCATGTTCACCCTGCCTTTGCGTGGGTTTCCTCTGGGTGCTCTGGTTTCCCCCACAGTCCAAAGACAAGCAGTACAGGTGAATTGGGTTGGTTAAATTGTCTGTAGTGAATGTGTGTGTGTGTGGATGTTTCCCAGAGATGGGTTGTGGCTGGAAGGCCATCCGCTGCATAAAAACTTGCTGGATAAGTTGGTGGTTCATTCTGCTGTGACGACCCCGGTTTAATAAAGGGACTAAGCAGACAAGAGAATGAATGAATATTTAAGTGCTTGGGGATTCCTTATAATAAATCAATCATAAAATGTGCTCCAACCTAGCCCCACCACATTTTGGTTTGCTGCCTCAAGACAACAACGTGCAGTTAGGGCACTAAAACACCAAGGTTTTTTTGTATGTTATTATATGTAAAATGAGGTACAAACAACCCATAAATACATTAGAAAAAGTGTTCATTTAACATAAACAACATCAACAAGTAATATTTCATTAATAACTAGCCATGATGTATTGTATGTTCCTGTGGCGTACTGAATGAATGTACTTATTTACCAATGTTTATAATTCACTGTGGGACCTGTGAAGCAAATATGGGTGCCACATTTTTGTCACTTGGCTTTAGGTCAGGGGTGCCCGAACCTGATCCTGGTGGTACATAGTTCTAACCCCAATTAGACACCTGAACCAGCTACTCAGGCTCTAACTAGCATACTGGAAATGTATTGACAGGTTGGCAACAAAAATTTTTGCAGGACACTCCAGGACAGAGTTTTGGGCACCTTCCTTTGGTTGAACCTTTGCATCCTGTTACTCTGTATCTCCCTTTCTGTGTATCTATGACCATCAAGTGCACTGTAAACCCAAATTAGTTGACTTTACTAGATTGTTGCGTGGGAACTCGTTGCATGAAATAAGTTTAGTTTTTACATATATTCAACTAAATAGGTAAAGCTGCATTAAAAGAAAATTTGTGGGTGTAGAAGACAAATCAACTTTTAATTAGTAGTCTTTAGTAAAAAGAAAACTGTGACTTGATAGGGCTTCTGAAGGGTTGCAATGATAAGTACTAGATAGGAACTGGCAAAGCTGACGATCTAAAGGTCCCTGGTTCAATCCCGGGTTTCGGCAAAGCAGTGTTGTTGTTCAGTTTTTTGGCATGAGGGTCAGGGAACCGAAGGTCACTCAAAAAGCCTAGCTGCTTCACATTTAAGTCCACCTGCTTCCACTTGACCAAAACGCCATCTTCCTTCCAGATGGTCACTCGTCGCTTCTAATGATGATTCCAATGGCCTAATCGACAGCGATCTTAAATATGTTTAGCGCTTTGATGTCCCACTGCGGACACGCCGTTGACTAAAAGAAAACTGTGACTTGATAGGGCTTCTGAAGGGTTGCAATGATAAGCACTAGACAGGAACCGGCAAAGCTGACATAAGAAGTTTCACTATAAAGTCTTAAGGTGCAACCAGCTATGCAATGAAAGCCAGTGTGAAACGCATGAAAACAGATGCGGAGATTCATGTGGAGAATGCGGGCATCGATCCCGCTACCTCTCGCATGCTAAGCGAGCGCTCTACCATTTGAGCTAATTCCCCTTGCTGGAAAAAAATTTGGCTATTTTCGACGTAATCAAAAAATAAAAAAAAAGATCACATCTGCTCTGCGGTGGCCCCTTTGCCCTGCTTGATATTTATTCGTCAAATTGCTTGGAATAGCATGCTTTTTTTAAAAGGTCCTACCCGGTCCTGCTCCAGGGAACATGTGAGGAGTCCTGCATGCCGAATGACAAGTTATCCCTAAATCACTCCACATTGGCACTGCCCTGGATTTCTATGTTAGCGTGCAGAAAGTGGTCGGTTAGCTCAGCTGGTTAGAACGTGGTGCTAATAAGCCCAAGGTTGCGGGTTCGATACCCGTACTGGCCAAACTTTTACCCTCCTACGCCTCAGATGCATTCAAGAGCTCTGCTCGGTCTCACCGGCATCCATGCTGCAGAGCAGCTGACATAAGACAGCCGAAATAGCTCAGTTGGGAGAGCGTTAGACTGAAGATCTAAAGGTCCCTGGTTCAATCCCGGGTTTTGGCAAAGCAGTGTTGTTGTTCAGTTTTTGGCATGAGGGTCAGGGAACCGAAAGTCACTCAAAAAGCCTAGCTGCTTCACACTTAAATCCACCTGCTTCCACTTGACCAAAACGCCATCTTCCTCCCAGATGGTCACGTCGCTTCTGGTGATGATTCCAATGGCCTAATCGACAGCGATCTTCAATAGGTTTAGCGCTTTGATGTCCCACTGCGGACACACCATTGACTAAAAGAAAACTGTGACTTGATAGGGCTTCTGAAGGGTTGCAATGATAAGCACTAGACAGGAACCGGCAAAGCTGACGTAAGAAGTTTCACTATAAAGTCTTAAGGTGCAACCAGCTATGCAATGAAAGCCAGTGTGAAACGCATGAAAACAGATGCGGAGATTCATGTGGAGAATGCGGGCATCGATCCCGCTACCTCTCGCATGCGCCTGCAGCATCCCGTCTACAGAGCCAAAGTAAGCCCAAAGTTAGCCCACATGAGCCAATCACGTCTCACCTCGGTGGCTTACTTTTGACCAATAGAGTTTAACCCCTGTGGCTTACTTTTGACCAATCACGTTTGTCTTTGCGCTGACGTCATTTCGACCAATCGCGTTTCACTTCAGTGGCTTACTTTTGACCAATCGCATTTCTTTTTGCTGTGACGTATGTTTGACCAATCGCGTTTCTCCTCGATGGCTTACTTTTAACCAATCACACGACGCTTTTATTATAATCGTCATCTTTGAATCAGGTAAGCCAGATGTAACACTACTTTATTATTAGTTTATTATTAGTTTATTATACTGTGTGTATTTCTGTTAAATAATAAGTTACAATCGACAGCAAGTTAACGTTATGGCAGATGTTTTCTTCATAACTTGTAAAACGGTAATGTTTCCCATGATAAATACAGAGCAAATGTCGCTCGTGATCAGAAAAGGTGGAATCATCGCCATTTGGTTAAATGATTAAACAAAATGTTCTGATATTTGTTTAGAATAATAATGCCCCCATTCGACCTAGCAATATTGGGCCCTATAATCGCGGTGTACACTCTAAAAAGTTAACGTTACTGTACTTAAATGTACAGTTACAGTTACTTATAATGTAATTGCATGAAATACAGAGTTAAACAGTTTTTTCTTAAACATTTAATTTAGCAAATAATTCTATAATTTTAAAATAATTCTATTTTAGGTAAAACAAAGTTATATTTATAAAGACGACTGCACAAACTTTAAAAACATTTGAGTTTAACACTTGTTTATGACAATATATGATATATATTTAGTAATTAGATTGTATTGTATTTTATAAATCTATTGTAAAAATATTATAAGCATATATTGTATTTTGTTTATTTTATTACTTGTGTTTTCAGATATATTACACAACAGAATAGTTATATTAAATAGCTGAAGTACAAACATTTTATTTATTAAAGTCATAATGTAAAGACTTAAGAGTTTAATGTGTATATTATAACTTAATGTTTTAATTTCTGTTGTTTCTCATTTATTTATATGGATTTTAAGTTGTACTACCATGCATATATTAGGCATATGTGTAGAAAATTCACCAGAAGTCCATTTTATGGTCATGGTCATATTTACTACTGCAATAATATGGATTATCTACCTTGTTAAATTATTGTTTCACACTTAATGTAAATGTATCTTTCTGATTGCTCTAGGTAATGTTCTCTCTAATGTTTTTTTTTTTTTTTCAGAAAAATGTATGCATACCCGATTTTCCGCCGCCAATCAGCGACATCAAGCAGACTCCTCTTGGGGCCATCTGCAGAGGCAGAGCGCCTTGTAAGCAGGGAGTCTGGAAGGGCCAAACCCAAGGAAGAGGTGCTGGCAGAGGCCACTGCTTTCGTCAGCAGCAATGGTGGAGACTCCAGTGACCAGTTTTTAGTTCTGGCTCACTGCAAGATTCAGTTTGGCAAGTACCAGGGCCAAAGATTTAGATGGCTCCTAGAGCATGCTCTGGGGTATGCGGTGTACCTGGTGCTTAGCATTTCTGATGAGAAGCTGCAGACAACACCCTTGTCAGAAAACAAACACCTGTTTCTTCAGTACACTTCCTCCATCAGGGAGATTGCAGAAGAAGTAGAGAAGTACCAGAGGAAACAGGAAATGCAAGCAGAAGCCAGGGCAAAAGGAGATACAGGGTGCTTGATGGTGGAGTTTGGTGACTTTAAGGGCCGGTCCATGAAAGATGTGTTTGAGGACCAGAGCAAGGAGGCCCAAGCCCTCATCAGGTACCTGGTTAAGGCAGATGCCAGGCCAAAAACCAACATGGCACTTTTCAAGACGTATGTCCTGAAAAGACTGGCTTCTGCTGCTGCCTCTGCACCTCCACCTGCAGCATCCAGTGTCCCTGCTCCTCCACCTGCAGCCATCCAAACAGGTGTACAGCAGACTGCCACTGTGAAATCGCTGTTGGCAAGGGGCAAGCACTTGTCTCCTTCACAGCTGGCAAAAAAACTGATGTCACCTGTTAAACCCTGTAAGTAGGAGAGTGAATACTGAGCATGATACAGAATTATCCCAACAGCAGTTATATATGTGTTTATTTATTGTTATGTCAAACTTTCTGTTTCCAGATCCAAAACTGCAGTCCACTGTATCTCCTCCTACAGCAGAACCCCCAGCCAAACGTATGGCCCAAAGGCAGCTTTTTACTACTGGTAAGTAAGCACCATCGTATTGTACATTTGGCTGTGTGTATTTTTTACAGTAATATTGTAAATATAAGATTTATGCTCCAGGCACTTCCAGATCCACAGCTGAAGATGATGAAGAACTGGTGTTTGCTGCATCACAATGTGAAGCACAGCTCTTTGCAGGTGTGGCACACGACAAAAATGAAAATGTTATAACAATATTTTGTGAAAACACACTAAGTATTTTTTTTTACAAAAAATAATGAATCAAATTTTTATCTACAGTACAGAGTTGTCACATCATGCCTCAAGCGGGATGCATTCTTTGAGTGCACTTCTTCAAAACCTTAAGGATATTCAAAGGTTTCAGTGTATTTATTTGCGTTTCCGAACTAATCATTATTGAACATTCATCAGATAACTTTTCCACGTCGCTTGCTCTTCTCACTCACTCTCTTAGATGGTGGTGATTCATTGCTGTCATTATCAGCTGAGCAGTTTTTCCTTACTGTATCTGTGTGCATGCTTCATGTCTTTGTGCTTCAATAATTTATACTAATCATGCCTCATTTTACTTACTCCATTTCATATGATTCTCACTCGCAGAGAATTGTGTTAATTCCATATCCCTTTCATCAATAAAGTGCACACTAATTTCTTTGCTTTCTAACAGTACCATTCTCTTAACTTGTATTTCTAAGTATACCCATATTAATAATAATACTTATCCAAAACTATTGCTTCACTGGCTGTTCATGGGCATAATTTGTGGCACCTTACTATCAAAAGCAACAGTCATCATAATATTGTTAACCATAAATTGTTTGTTACTATTCACTCAGAGGCCTGTGCCAATCCGTCTCCATCAGCGGAAACAGCAAAAACACCAGATCTTCAACATCATCAGCCACCAGTTGAGCTTCCTGTTCACTGGAAAGATCAGCTTCCCCCTTTCCAGCATGAGTGGATCCGGAACACGGTATTTAAAACAAACTTAAAAACCGGCAAGCCAGAGCTAGTGTCCCAGCTGAAGCTTTGGTGGTATCCTCCCCAGCCCCCTCTAATTAACACGCAGCCACCTGCCTCTCCTGACCTCTTCTTCTGCCGACCACTTTTTCTGTGGATGCCGCTGAAGATGTGGTTGTTTCCACTTGTCTGTGTTCGCCTAAGCTGCGGTAAGCACAGACTAACAGCTGCTGGAATTTACCGCACGGTGCGCAAGGTCCTCGACATCGACGGCTGGTACGACCTTGCCACTGAGTATCTGGAGTGCAAGCGGTGCAAAAAGAAGTATCCTGCCTGGTCCGAGGACATCTTAGGACAGCTGGATATTGGCCACCGTAGTCAGTTCCCAGCTTTGCTGACATACAGGTAATTCATAATGCCAATATTTTAATTGTGTTAATTTTTAGCAAACAAAGCATTTCCCTGATTATAATGTTGTTTCCTTAGATACTCATGTGACAACCGGGTAGTTAGGATGATGAGGGAGAGGACACTGGGCAACAGTGTGACTCAGCTTTTCAAAAAGCTGATGGAGCAACACAGTGAGGCATGGACACAGCGAGTCTTGCAGTACCTGACTGCCTGTGAACCATTCACAAGGTCCTCCCTTGTGCAACCTCCTGTGTTTGCTGAGCCTCCCCTCTTACCTGCCATACCCAAACCTAAGTGGCTGTTAGCCGTCTATGCCAGGGATGTTCTGGGGCGACTGCACGAGGTCAAGGCCAAAATCACCTCCGTCTTTGGCTGTGTTCTAAAGATGGACTCCACAAAAAAGGTATGTTTATATCCAGACATTTGCCAGATATGGATATGTGTGCGTACATATTTAACACAGTTTTATTTTTCCTAATAGATCACAAAGAAACTTGCAGGTGCTGCTGCGGGAACAGCTGCCTGGTGCACTAATGTGGGGAACGAACACGGTCAAGTCCTTGTCTCTGTGCTGTCAGCTGCCGAGGGTCATGGACTGGAACCAATGGCGGCCGGGCTGATGAATCGTTACCGGGAGGCAGGAGAGGCAGCCCCGAAAGTAATGTACGTGGACAGAGATTGCTGCAGTCAGCACGGCCAGTCTCCGGTGAAGATCATGTTTCGGGAGTGGGATGAGCTTGAAGTGCGCCTTGACATCTGGCATTTTATGCGCCGGTTTGCTGCAGGTGTCACGACAGAAGCTCATCCGCTCTACGGCATCTTCATGGCACGTCTGTCCACGTGCATCTTTCAGTGGGATCCAGAAGATGTGGCCGCTCTTCGCCAGGCAAAGGAAGGTGAGCTGGCGGCAAAAAAGACTGGCCACATTTCACAAACGGCTCTCAGTGCTCGCATAAACCGGAGGGAGCTAGCACTGCACTGCCGTAGGAGGACCAGAGGTGTGGAGGAGACCACCTGTCTGATTGGAAAGCTGTTGGACCATTTTGACAGCGAGCATGGGAAGGACACTCTGGGTGTTCCTCTGCTGGACCACGAACGGATCCAGCAGATATGGAAGGAACAGCAGAAGCATATACAGTGCATTCAAGACCCAGAGAACTTTCCACTGTACATGAAGACAGGGACACTGAAGAAAGGCAGTGTGGAGCTGTGTTGTTACAGGTGTGCCCGTGGCTCTACATCTTTGGAGTCCTTCCACCTCCACCTAAACCGTTTTATTCCAGGTATTACATACATTTGGATTGTTTTATTTTGTAAAACATATAAGCACTGTGATAACTTCCATTGCTTTAATGTAACATTATTAAACATTTAAATAACATTTGTGATGTTATCAGCATTGACAAAGCTGTCTTGCCTGACAAGTAACTCTGTTTATAATGACAATAATTTTAATGTTAGTACATAACCTAATAACATGTTAATTAATTCTTCACATATTTTTAACTATTTTAATTTCCAGGGACCAGTGCCAGTGATGCGCATTTTCAGGCCTATCTCCTTGAGGGCTTGATGCGCTGGAATGATGACCGGATGGAAAGCACCATAAAAGGAGCATCCTCCATACGGTCATATGGCAGTGCCATGAGAGAGGCTGTGGACAGGCTTAGCCGAGCAGTCTTAGGGAAGCCCTGGGATAACCGTTATCACCCTCCTGGAGCATATACAGGCAAGAAATTCATTAACTAGTTGTTATATAAGTGATTTATTAAGCTTTAATGTACTTCACAAAATGTTTATCTAAATATTTACTTTATTATTAGTTTTATTTAATATATGTTTTTTTTTAATTGTTTTATTCTTTAAGGTGAATTGCTGGGAATAGAGTACCTTTACAGCCAGACCGGCAAAACCCTGACTCCGGTGCTCCAGAACCCAGAGGAGGAAGACAGGCTGGTGGAGGAAGTAGATGACGAGGATCTACAAGATGAGGGGTTTGAGGAGGAGATCATGGAGGACATCACAGTTCCAGTGCTGTATGAGGATGACCCCTGCCGTGATCTCAGAAACAGCCCCTCATCTTCGCCTCTGCCTCAGTCCCCAGCATCACTGGCTGAGCCGTCCACATCAGCTGGTGGAGAAGGACAGCTTCCTAGCCGAGCCCCCTCAGTGCCGTCACAGCCATCCGACTCTGGAGACAGTCTCTCTGTTGAGGCTCAGGTAAGATACATTAAGAACTTAATTTGATTTAGTCTTTTTTTATTCCACATATACTAAATTTATTCTGTATTTACCAGGGAGTAGTCATTGGACCTGATGGCATTGCTGGGTGGGACAAGGTCCAGGATCTGGCTGCTTATTTGGTAGGTCTTCGTGAGGCTCCTTACCTCACTGACCTGCAGGTGACAGAGGCCATCCAGCTGTGGACAGCTCTCCTGGATGTTGATAAACAGCGCATCAACTACCAGCCTCGACATCAGCCTCAGCTGACGCATGGGCGCTTTAAGGCACCAAAGCGCTCCGGAGTCACTCCAGGTGTGGAGAGCGTCAAACGTTGTCTGATTGGACATCCTGGGGGTCCAGCACAGTGGCCTAGCACCAGCCGCTTGGTTGAGGCCATTTGTACAAAGCTGTGTGCCGTACACAAGTCCACTTCCAAGAAGGCTGGTGTTCGCACCCCCAGGTGGTCTAAAATACTGACCGATTACCACCACATCCGGGATCTGGTGCTTGGCAGTCGCAGGCTAATGGATGAAACAGTGATCCAGCTTTTTGAGCTAAACCAGAAGACGCTCATTCAGTGGTAAGCAAAGCACATTATTTTCTTTAAATTACCTGAATATTTCTAAATTAATATATATGAATAATACATATCATTTATTATCAGGTTTCAACGGAGGCAAAAGGATCAGGAAATGAGTGTACTCACTCAGGGACTGACTCCACTTAATCCAATTGCTGTGGCAGATACGCAGCTTCCTTTGCCGAGGGAAAAATTGGACGAGGCACCGTCAACATCAGGCCCCAAACACCAGTTTGTTTTTCCTCCAAATAAAGAAGGACAGGCACCTCTTCTTCGACCTGGACGAAAGTCTGCTTCAGCAACCACCACAGTTTGCTCTTTCCTGCCAGATGCCACCACGGTGTGCTCCTTCCCACCGGCCCCCACGACGGTATGCCCCATCGCGCCAACCCCCACCACAGTCTGCCACATTGCACCGGCCCCTACCATGGTGTGCCCCGTCACACCGACCTTCACCACAGTGCGCCCCTTCTCGCCAGCCTCCACCACAGTGTGCCCCATCATACCAGCCTCCACCACAGTGCGCCCTATTGCGCCGGCCCCCACCACAGTGCGCACCATTGTGTCTGCCCCCACCACGGTGTGCTCCTTTCCACCGGCCCCCAGCACGGTGTGCCCCATTGCACCACCCCCCACAGCACCAGGTGTTGTGAAGCCCATTTCAGGACCTGGATCATTGTTTGGCACACTTGTTTTTAACCCAGACATGAGTGTGTCAATGGTGATTCCATCATTTGCTGCACCAACATCCAGTGCAGTCCCAGCTTCACCTGCACCTGCTGTTGCTCCACCTGCACCTGCTGTTCCTCCACCTGCACCTGCTCCACCTGCACCTGCTGTTCCTCCACCTGCACCTGCTCCACCTGCGCCTGCTGTTCCTGTGTCCCGTTACACCCAGAGGAACAGGCGCAGACGGGAACAGGAGAAGGAAAGTGGAGTCCACAAAAGGAAGTATGTGCGTGCGGTTACTTTTAATGTTTGCAGCAAATGTGGGCAACCCAAGACTAAGGAGTTTGGCCATAGCCGATTTGGTAATGCCACATTTTGTCTGCAAACTTCAAATGGCAAATCCTTAGAGGACTGGTTGGCAGAACAGCGCCAGCAAAATAAAGGACAAACTCCAGCTCCAGAATAAAGTACAAATTGCTGTATATATATTTGTAAATGTTACATGGGTACTCTCTCTTTCCCTCATTTTATTTAATTTTTGTGTGTTAATATGTAGCCTTTTAAAGTAGCACTTTATAGACTTTATAGACTTTTATATAACATAGGCCCACTCTTATTTTGTCTTGTGTGTACTTATTTAAAATTTGTGTGCATTTTATGTAAAAATATATTTATATTTCTTAAAAAAATAACATTTTATACATTGCTTAAAAACTATATTTTATATATTACGTGCCCCCACTCTTGCATTTTATTATTTATTCATATTATTGTTTAATATATTGTGTGTATAAAAATAAATATATATAGAGAGTATTGTTTTTATATATTGTGTATAATAAATAAATATATTTATATATAGTATTGTTTTAATATATTATATGTGCATAATAAATAAATATATATTGTATTGTTTTTATTTATTGTATATTATATAGTTTATATATTAAGATATGTTTTTATTTAGTTTTTTTACATTGTTTTACAATTTATATATATTTGTATTCATTTTAATAAACCATTTTGCATATTACTTGTTTTTGTGTGCATTCATTTAAAGTTATTATTACATAAAGAAATATTAAAAAAAAAAAAAAAAAAATATATATATATATATATATATATATATATATATATATATATATATATATATATATATATAATACTTATATATACATAAGCATGCATAAATATGTTTAATTGAAACATTTTCATTCGTTTTTAATTAACGTAATAAGCTTTTTAAGAACAATATCCACATAATAGTAATATCAATATAATTGCCTGTGTTACGTCAGTAAAATTTCAACAAGAGCGCAGCTGATTGGCTCCGCTGAAACCGACAATGATTGGATATTGTGTTACACAGATCGTGTGTTCGAATCCAGCACGCAAAAAATGACATTTAGAATGACATGCAATATGCAACCAAAATACCACATTATGCACAGTCACAAAGCCGCGAACACTACTGCAAGCGAAATTTGTCGCATTTTTCCGTTTTTTGCGACTTGTTCGCTTGCGAGTGAGCGAGAAGATTGGGCCCCTTCCTTTGCGCAGCGAGCGCTCTACCATTTGAGCTAATTCCCCTTGCTGGAAAAAGTTTTTGCTATTTTCGACGTAATCAAAAAATAAAAAAAAGATCACATCTGCTCTGCGGTGGCCCCTTTGCCCTGCTTGATATTTATTCGTCAAATTGCTTGGAATAGCATGCTTTTTTTAAAAGGTCCTACCCGGTCCTGCTCCAGGGAACGTGTGAGGAGTCCTGCATGCCGAATGACGAGTTATCCCTAAATCACTCCACATTGGCACTGCCCTGGATTTCTTTGTTAGCATGCAGAAAGTGGCCGGTTAGCTCAGCTGGTTAGAGCGTGGTGCTAATAACGCCAAGGTCGCGGGTTCGAGACCCGTACTGGCCAATCTTTTACCCTCCTACGCCTCAGACGCATTCAAGAGCTCTGCTCGGTCTCACCGGCATCCATGCTGCAGAGCAGCTGAGACAAGACAGCCGAAATAGCTCAGTTGGGAGAGCGTTAGACTGAAGATCTAAAGGTCCCTGGTTCAATCCCGGGTTTCGGCAAAGCAGCGTTGTTGTTCAGTTTTTGGCATGAGGGTCAGGG